AGTAAAAGCCTATTTTACTACAGAAATGCTTTCTTGCCTGTGACTCCAACACATATAAACACACAGAGAGAGATAAATATTCCTTTCGCACCCAATCTTTTCCCCATGTTTCTTGATGCCTGTTAGGTATATTAGGTCCTTCAGGAACTCAGCATTTTGGAAATGTCTAGATGATTTACAAAATAATTACTGCCCAATTTGTATTACAAACAGTCTTGAACACTGGATCAGTTTAAAGCCTAAAAGGCTGTTCTCCTAAATTCAGCAGAATACAATCCCACGTAAATTAACCTAGGATTGCTGTTTAATATATGGCAATAAAGTCAACTACCAGCCCAGTCCTAATAATTCAAATCAAACTAATATTACATACAGCGAATAGAACTTTTGCATATATACAAAATAGTCTTTTGTATGAACTTCATTGGATCTAAATTAGAATCCAGGGTCAAGCCTATGATCACCGATCTGATAGTGAATCCCACTGACCCAAGCTCCGTGGGAATTTCTGGGAAATGGGCTGTGGATTGCTATTCTCTCAAGTTTAGCTTTGAATCTGTTTCATGAATTCTTATGCATTTGAAAACCATATAATTTGAGATTCAGAGAGATTGGGTGTTTAAGTTCACCCCATATCAGGATGGTTGCTGGTTGTTATTATTACTAGTAATATTATCATTATTACAAACTGCTAATCCTGCTATTATATATGATTATTACCCATATTTTTAATAAGTGGCTAATAGGAATTCTGAGGACGTCTATGCCGCCCAGGCTCGCTTTAAATAGCAAGATGGGCGCATATAAATTTAATAATAAATAAAAAATGTAAAAAGTACCATTCATGGGGTGAAAGAAATCAGCGTAAAACAATAGTTACTAAGGGAAGCCTTTTGATTTCAACAATGACTGTGCCTCCGGCGCCATTAGACATTTCTGCGAGGTTCCCGACAAGCGCGCGGAACCTCACAACCGAACCTCCCTAGCATCCACTGATCGCTTCTATAAAAGGGAAACCCAGTGAGCCTCCCGTTTTCTCTGAAAATTCTTCCTTAGGGACGCCCAAGCAGCCTTTGGCTGACCAGATGGGGGCGAAGAAGAGGGGAGGAAGCCAAGGGGGACGGGCGAGACGGGGGATTCACCGAAGCGAAAGCGCAACCTCTGCTATAAGTTGCGGACCTGGTAAACGCGCCAGGCAGCAAGAAAACGCTGTCTAAACTTCCTCTCCATTTCTGCCCCGCTTGTGCGTTGGATTGCACTTCAAATCTCATTGGAGGAGTGGTGTAGGGAAGGGAGAGAGTGGGGAAGAAAGTTTTCATATGGTGGAGCGCGCTGAGTTTTGCGCGTCTCTTCTATAGAGAGATTCGTGCGCTTCCACCGGCACCGTTGATTTTTCTAAGCTTGGGAAGGCAGGAATCTGTAGTTGGTAGAGGTGCTGACATATGTCACAAGGTTCTGCTGCTGCTGCTGCTGCTGCTGCTGCTGCTGCTGCTGCTGCTGCTGCTACACCTGTGGAAGGAAATGCCTTTCGGGCGAGTGGGGAGTGCGAAGCAGCCCCGACCGGCTTGGGTGGCCAAGGAAAGAACTGGCACTAACTAGCTAAAACTGCCGACCTCAAAAGAGCAGCAATTCAGAATCTCAGCAGGCGTCCCGGCTTGGGGCCCGGATACTGGCATTTTCAGACCCAGGGGCAGAGCTGCGACAGGGGCCGGAGGGCATTCCTATCCCCAGGCCCCAAAGCGTTTTGGATTAAGGAAGAAATCCACCGGGGATTGGAAGTCACAGAGGTCCCCCCCCCCTCCCCTGCCTGGTTCAGAAACCCGTCTCTCTGCGAGGGGAGGCAATTACTGTATTCCTAAAGATGTTTTTTTTAATGTCTTTGAATCTACACAGGACCTAACCATTTGTATCATATTTGTAGGTGATCATCCGGATCACCATCAGCGATTTTTTAAAAAGGCCAAAAAAGTGTTTTTCTCTCATACACACTTGAACTGAGGACTTCAAATTTCACAGCAATAGTGATCTGAATTTGAAATATACAATATCTTTATAGAAGGCTTTATAAATAGCTGTATGGATTCATGATTGGTACCAGTTAGTGAAGTGTCACCATTGATTTTGGCAAAATAATGCTTAACATTATTTTTAGCACTTCCATTAAAAACATGTCATTTTCAACCATGCTGTAAGTTTCATGCACTTCTCCTTGAGAGATTTATCTTTATGTAACGATTTAAGCAGTTTAATCAATATATCAAATATAAAGGAAAGTTAGGTGCCACTCTGCTCATTAGAACTTCTGAATTTTGTTTCTAGATTTTAAAATGCTATCAGCCTAGGCTCTATGAATGTAACTCAAATGCTGACTTTTTAAAGTCAGAAATTTTTGTCACGCTTCTCTAAAAAAAATCACAATGTTATCATTGTTCCCATATCAAGCATCTTAATTTGAAAATAAATTTCATTAAAAATATTGAATGTCTTTCTGAATAAAACTATTATTAGGTTACACCAATCGGAAACTTTTCCAATGTACGGATAGCAACAACCTATTGCACATATCCATTCTGAAGAGTGTAATCAATGTAATCAATATTGCAATAGTGCAATATTGCAATATCTGTTACTGAAATGGTTTTACTGAAATCAAATAAGCATGCACACTGTTAGAATTCCACTGTTTATTATTTGATGTTAAATATTTCTAACTTTGAGTAAATCAGATTAAATTGATCTTATTGCGTAGGATCAATGGAAAGCCAGTGCCTTTGAATTCAATAGAACTCGCTAGTTTGATGACTAGTTTGCAACAATGGTCCATGTTGTTTTGCAGCATATACATACAAAAATAATATATAAATGTATATAAATAACACACACAAAAATAGATCCATAAATTACTATAAAAACATGAATGTCTTTGTATACTATGAAGTTTCAGTATTTTTGAAATCCAACTTGGGAGGCGGACAAGTGAGCCTCCAATTAACTCTTCTCAATATAAAGCCGGTAAATTTCCCATTCAGTTATATAATTATAAAAAGATGGTTAAAGGGACTATGGTAGGCACACTAAAGGTAGGAATAAATGCCACTGAATTCATGGAAAATTACTTTGGCATAGGCTTTGATAAGATCAAGTTATCTTTCTTCAAAAATATAACTGGTTAAATTTGCACAATAAATATTTACATTATCTACTTTCTTCTAACACTGAAGGAAGTCATTCAGAATTTCCCTATAGCCTTTTGTAAGGACGAGGCTTTTTGTATTTAAAAATGGTACTGTCAGGCCAAATGAACAAAGAAGCGCGTTGGGAAAGGAATCTGGAGGTCTGACTCGAAGTTCCCTTTCCGACGTGCACTCCCTTTCCTGCAGCAGCCGCACTGAGGCACATAGGCAAGTAGACCGGATGATGTATCTGTCCTTCGGCTGCCGGCAGCTTCGTGTGCGGCGGCTGTTCAGGTGAAGAACCTCATGTTTACAGGTCGGGAAGAAAACACACTCACCAAAAAAAAAAAAAAAAAAACCTGCTGGAGCAACTTGGAAACTTAACACGCATGAGGTCCTTCAGTAATCAGCTTTTCTCTAAAGCCTGATCGAGACCTCGACTTTAGGGTGGGATTTCCCAGAAGGGATTCAGCAGTTGAAAGTTTGGGGCAGAGACCCAGTCCCAGGTGCAGAGAAGATGGGCGCTAGTTGTGGCCTGTAGCAATCGCCCTGCAGAAAACCATCCCGCTCTGCCCCGCCTCCGCTTTCCTGTTTCATTCCCCCTTGCCCCAACTGCCTATATGTTCACACCTGCAAGAGTATTCTTTGAAATCAACTACCTCAACAACCAGCTTGTCTAGAAAAAACAACCCGGACGAATGCCAGAGGGCTTTTCCTTTCTTTTTAAATGGGGGGTGAATCTAAAGGGCTCAATGAAAGAGCTACGTGTACAGCATGATATGCGTGGGAGTTAAGGGCTGTTTGGCTCCGAAGATAGATGTCACCTGGCCAGGTCAGACAGTTCTACTAAGCGATCTGTCTGGGTAAGAAGGTTCAGAAGGAAACGCATAACTGTCAGTCCCCGACGCGCTTGTAGATGGCCTTATAACCTTTCAATTCAGGGCGCTTCGTTGTTCGAGGGGCCCAGCGCTGCCTCCTTAAGTAGCAAGTTTCAGAAGCTCCTGCTTCGTCCCGAAGTCTATTCCGCTCGGCTTCCCTGCGACTGAGGTCCGTCGACCTTTTTTTAACGCCTTTTTTTAATTTATGGCTTCCATCTCCAGCCCGCCTCCACCGCTGCGCTCGAAGAAATCCTTACTCCTCGGGAGATCAGCTTGCAGAAGCAGGGGAAGATTTTCCTTTTATTCCTCCTCTCCCCCCCTCCCCCCCAACAATTTTCCGCCTAAACTGCCTCCTGCATCAGCCGCATTGGCAAAAAGATGCCGCTTTCCCCCTGATTTGTGCGTGCATGTGTGTGCGTGCGTTTGCCACCCCACCCCCCACACTTCCCTCCGCTCCAGGACCCCCACCCTTGGCTTACGCATACGATTTCCTGGTTGGGGTGTCCTTCTCGTGCAATGTGACTTTGCCATGAACTCGCCCGTGCCCAGCTGGCTCCCAAGACTGAGGAGGGGTGGGGGACGCGGTGGGGGGGGGGGTGAGAAGCATCCTGACGAAAGCGGAACTCGCCGGAGCCCATACAAATCAGAAAAGAGCTACTCCAGAAGAGCAGGGAGTAGACACCGGAGCCCGCGGATCAGAAAAGACGCTGCGCCGGCCGCCGCTTGAAAACAGAGACGGGAAGGCGGAGGACGCCGGAGCCCACCAAAGGCACAAGCGAACTTAAAACCAGCAGGCGGGATTGGCCGCTGGACCAGATCTTCCCTGCGAGATCCTGGGGGAGCCGCCGCCGAGGTTTGGCGCGGCGGAGAGCTGTCCCCCGTTAAGCCGCCGCCGGAGCCGTCACCTTCCGAGCGAAGCCGCGGCAGCAGGTGGTGGTGGTGGGCCATGATGACCACCAGCTTCCAGGAGCCCCCGCCCGAGGACACGGTGGCCCTTCTGCACAGGGCCAAGGAGCCGGGCGGAGAAGCGGCGGCCAAAGGCGAACTGAGCCCGGCTTCCAGCAAAGCGGTGGCGTCCATCGGAACCGCGACGGCAGCGGCAGCGGCGGCGGCGGCGGCGGAGAAGAGCGACCCGACGCAGAAGCCGCCCTACTCCTACGTGGCGCTGATCGCCATGGCCATCCGCGAGAGCGCCGAGAAGCGCCTGACTCTGTCCGGCATCTACCAGTACATCATCAGCAAGTTCCCCTTCTACGAGAAGAACAAGAAGGGCTGGCAGAACAGCATCCGCCACAACCTCAGCCTCAACGAGTGCTTCATCAAAGTGCCGCGAGAGGGCGGCGGAGAGCGCAAAGGCAACTACTGGACGCTCGACCCGGCCTGCGAGGACATGTTCGAGAAGGGCAACTACCGCCGCCGCCGCCGCATGAAGAGGCCCTTCCGCCCGCCCACAGGCCACTTCCAGCCGGGCAAGAGCCTGTTCGGGGCCGCGGCGGAGGCGGCCGGCTACGGTTACCTCACGGCGCCACCCGCCAAGTACCTGCAGGCGCCTTTCCTCAACGCCGCCGCTTCCTGGTCCTTGGCGCAACCCGCGCCGCCGCCGCCTCAGGCGCCCTCGGCCGCTTCCTACGGGGCCTGTCAAATGGCAGCTGTGGAGGGAGGCGGCGGCGGCAGCCCCGGTGGCAACGGCGGCAGTCCTATCAGCGCCGTGAAGGGAATGGGACTCTCGGCCGGGCCCGCCGGCGCTGCCTCAGCCTACGGCCCTTACTCGCGCCTGCCCGCCATGGTGAACTCGTACAACGGCATGGGCCACCACCATGCCCACCACCACCCGCACGCCCACCACCACCACCACCCGCACGCCCACCACCACCACCACACGGCCCAGCAGCTGGGCGCGGCCGCAGTAGCGGCGGCCGCGGCCGCGGCAGCTGCCGCCTCGGCGGGAAATCCTTCCCCTCAAGCGGCGCCCAACGGAGCCGCCGGCCTGCAGTTCGCCTGCGCGCGCCAGCCGCCCGAGCTGACCATGATGCACTGTTCGTACTGGGACCACGAGAGCAAACACAGCGCCTTGCACCCCCGGATAGACCTCTGAGGAGGCGGACGAGAGCCGCGTCTCTGGCCAGGGGACGCCCCGCAGCCCACCGGCCCTTCCCAATGCTCCGTAGACGCAAAGAGGTGTTTCCTGGAGAAAAGCTTGGATCGCCTTTCCTGGTCGTTTTCCTCCCCACCCCCGATGCCTGGTGCATGCAGTCACTTTCACCAGACAAAAAACACCCCCCCCCCCCCCCCCCCCCACCAAAAAAAAGCTCTTGTGTCTCTTGCAGATTTCCGGCTCCTCTTCTCCGGCTGCAGGTGAAGGCGAGCGCGACGCGCCCGAAGACTTTTCCCACCAACACCTCCTCCTCCTCCTCTGCTTCGAGTAGCTCGGCTTTGGGATGTAAATCCTCTTCTCGGTCGCTAGTTTTTAGAGGGGAGGGTTAGACAACGCAGAGTTCTTCTCAATCTCCCTAGTACAAGCCCTAATAAAGCTAAAGCTAACGTCGCCTCCGGATTTTTTTTTTAGTTGCTTTATAAATGACACTGGCGATACAACACGGATCAAGACTGTAGAAGAAGATGTCGTTTGCGTGGTCACCCCGAACTTACTTTGCAGAAGCAGGGAGAGTTGGTAGTAAGTAACGTTTTTAAGATCGAAACGTGAGTCTTAATTGCAGAGGCATTTGCTTTGCTTGTGAGTTTAAACGGGGTTAAAATTCAAATCAAAGAAAATCGGGGGGGGGGGAGACATATTTGGGTAAACAAGAATTACGAAATTACGCTACAGATGAGACGTGTCAAATCAACAACTTAATCTCCTGCTCCGAACAGTTAAACCACCAAGCTTTAAAACCAGTAAAGGCCACGTTCGGAATATTAAATATTAAATTGTGTTTGAACTTCAGTTATCAAGGGTGGCATGACTGTAAATCCTATTGAATCAGGCCTCTTAGTGTAACAATTTGGAGTTGTGTTTAAATCAGAAAGATTTACATTTGGATTTAAGCAGGAATAACTTTGACACAAATCACAATCCTTAGAATTGCATGATTTCTGTTCTAAAAAATATACAACACATTGAATGTGTTAGGATTTTTTTTCAAAAATTGTTTTCAAGAATGGCAAAGATTATAAATACATTTTTGTGAATATAAATTTCATGAAACATTTAGACTTTCATTCCACTGTACTGTGGTTTACAGTCGGTTTCAAAACTTGTTTCCTGGCTCGGTACATGTTAATTTGGGCACTTGAATACTTGAGTTTGAACAAGTTTAGGGAAGTTTAAAGTTGAGAGGGGAGGAGGTTTGGGATTAATCTGATTACAATGGATAATTACTGGAGATAACTGTTTGAAATCTAGAAGGTGGGATATTAGAAATGCCTGCATTTTGAATAGATTGGCTAATACAAATAATGGAAAGCAGTAAACTTTCACTTCGCCTTTCTATAGGCATAGGTTTGTCCACTGTGACCCCAATGATGGAGGAGGGGGACAATGCACTTCTTCAAATCTTAATATCACTGTCCAAAAAAGTACTTATTTGGGTACTGTATTTTACCAGAAATGCTCCTTGTTGGGGCGACTTGTAGTCAAGTTGATTTGAAGGGGGAAGGAATTATAAGAACAACTTTAAAACAATTGTATATGTATATGTATTTTTTTTACAAAAAGAAAATAGTATTTTCTCAAAATAAAGTAAGTTTATACTGTATAAACTTTATACTAAAATTATTTGGATAAAACAAAGCTATTCTCTATTATTATGAATAGTAGTAAAAATGGAGACTGTTTTTTGCAATTATGCTGTTTTACATACACACACACACACACACACTTATCCTAGCCTCTACATATTTTTTATCTTTTTTAAACTGAAATTATTTGCCTGTAAATCAATTTTCATGGGTGGTCCTCTGCTTTTCTCTTCTTTTGTGAAATAAAGTTTCACTATTTGACCTTGAAAAAGAAGATGAACAGAAAATGTATTAATGGGGAAAGGGGGGAGTCATAGCAGTCTGCTTAAATACTTTTGTAAGCAAGCTCTTTGGTTATTGTGCCTTTCTGGGACCAACTTTTTTTAGAATAACTAGCACTTTTATTGTATATCCCTTTGTATAGTCTCCAATAAAATGTTCTTTTTCTCTTTTATGTTTGATTTTCTTTTGTTCCACTATTTGTCAAATACTGCAAATCTTTTTAAATGTCATTACTTTCTGAAAGTGAGTAATTTGCCTCAAAAGCTGCTAATATAGACTTGAACAGAAAGTTTAGAATTTTACTTATATTATTTTCCACTTTCATGCCTGGAATTTGGTGATCATTCAAAAGAAAGAGAAAGATACATAAACCTCAGTTATAATAGTAATAATAATAACTATAATCATCTGAAAATATTATTGAAATCACTGCCCCAGCTAGCAATGTTATTTATATGAATTGTGTTTAAAAGCCTTCTTTAAATGGCTGGATCTAAAGCATTTGTGTTTGGAATATTACTAATAGGTAAATTCCTCTGAAATAATTTTTTTTGTTTCCATGTCATGATTAGTAGGCCAGAAATACTTATGGTCCAGTGGTCTTAATCACATTTACTCAGCAATACATCTGATGTGTGAAGCTTTTTAGGGTCCTTTGCTTGCATTAAGACAGACTCTTTCTACCAGTGTTTGTGAGGAAGTACATCTCATTTAAAGTAATGGCAGGATACCTGGGAGGATCTAACTTCAGAAGATTGTGGTCTGGTTTGAAAGTGCTGTTAATATCAGGCTTAAAAAAATAATTATCACTTCTAAGTTGTTTTAAGCCATGCAAAAAAGCAGTCCTTGCTTGTGAAGATCTTCATTTGCAAATCCAGATGGATTTTTCTTTAATAGTGAGCATATGTTGGAAAAAGATACCTAGTGGCCCTTTTATTATACCCTTATCTTTTTCTTTATTTTCTTGTAATATATGTATGATTACAAAATCTTTTACCTATATCACAAAAAGTATAGGTCAGAGGTCTGTAAAATATAAGTGTGAAAAATAGCTGGTGAACATATTCTTCTTATGTCAGAGAGTAAGACCATTCCCAAAACTAACTTTATTATGTAAGTTTTGTGCGCTATTCATGTATAATATCAAATGACTGATAAGAATATTTGCAGCCCTTCCCAAAAGCAGCTCATTTTTTTAGAAATAAATTCCAATGAATTCAGTCGGATTTATTTACCAAGCTGCTACTTTATTTGGAGATAAATTATATGAGAAAAGGTGGGCTTATCTCCTCCCTAATTCTACATAGGAAGAGCTATATTTTCAATTATTCCCTTTTGGCAATGCTACAAAATAGATGTTTGGGGAAGGGGGGAAGGAATTGTACTCTAAGTCTATTGCATTCTTTCCAAAAGTGTTTGCGTGTGGCACCTTGTAGATTTTAATCTTATGTTTCCATAAGAAGCAACTTATATAAATGAAACTCTTGGACAGTGCTTTTTGGCACATATTTCTAATGTTATCTTTTAACGGAGTAGTTTCACCTTTGTCCTAGCTAAACACTCTAAGACTTAATTACTTATTTACTTGACCTTTATTGTGTTTTATTAAAGCATAGGTTATGATTTACAGTGCTGTGTGAACTCAGCCTTGGTTCTCCCCCCCCCCCTTATAGGATGCCCAAGGAATGAAGGCGCACTTAGCTAGTCTTCTTTTTGCCTAATGTGTAATTGCCCAATGTCTAATATATAATTTTTATAATATCTACCTAATGTCTAATATAGTCTAAATGAGGGTAGGGGAGAGGCTCCCAAGTACAGGAGGCACTGGTGGTTGATTTTTACCGGACGGAAGTTATTAAGGTCATCTGGAAAGGCTACATTTAATTTTCTGTCCCCTTCTCTCCCTCGGTTTAATTGACGGGAAAAGCCGAAGGCCCCCTCTCCACTCATGCCAAAGGAGATAGCCGGGTTAAGTCTCCAACTGAGTAAACCCGGTGCCCTTGGCCAGGAAGACACTCAGTCCTCCCAAAACCTCGGAGCCGGGAGGAAAGGGACCTTGGAAGAGGGCCGAACCTCTTCTGGTTAGTGCTGCGGTCCGCACACAGCTTTCTTCGGAACCGCCTGTGGAGAGCGCTGGGGAAGAAGCCAGCTCGGCTAGCTTTCTGAAAAAAAATCGTTTAGTAACCATTTCACTGCAGTCTAAGTAAACGGTCGGAGAAAGACGGAGAGAACTAGTCCAGCATGTGGGAACTGTCGATCAATCGACCGTGGGAAGAGGGGAGCATCATTTCTGAAGGAGAACTGGTTCTCTGGTGTGAAAGGAAGAGCCATGCCGCTCGCCCAGACGTTAAAAGTTCAATAGGACCGATTCAAGGGGCAGGGAGAACCGAGTCCAACTTCTGGCACGCTGCGCGGGTCCCGATCCACCTACAGAGAGTTTCAGGGCGGGTGGCGAAAGGTCCCGAGGCAATGCGCCTTCGTGGAGCTCTCGCGGAATAGGACTGAGGAGGCGTTCGCTGCCTGCCCTCTGCTAGTGGGAGAGCGCTCCCAAGGCCTTTTTAAAGGGGTGGCGTTTGTCCTTCGCTCCAAGTCAATTCTCTAGGAGTTGGAGAAGGAGCAGAAATCGTCACAGCTTAGCCTATTAGATCTTTTAACTCCCAGTGCAGTTTACATCTCCATAGTCAATATAATAGACGGGAAGAGTCAGCTGGCCTCTTCCTCCTCACCAAACCAGGATTTAGGACTATATTTCCTAAATCAAACTGAAGAGAAATATCAAAATCCTACGGTTCTGTTTTTCTGTCCCATAGTTGAGTAAATAACAGAGAAAAGGGTGCCTGGTTTCCGATATTCCAGAATTTTCTTTTGTACAAAGTCTGGCCATCCTGTATTAGTAGTAAGGTCCATTGAATTCAGTTCGGTACTTTGGCGACCAAAGTACCAAATTGTAGAGCAACAGACATTACCTAACATTTTGAGTCATCCACTCCCTCAAGCCCTAACAGGGTGGACTAGGGGCAGTGTGAAAAAGTATCTACATCGTACATTGTCTTCCATTAATTGAGATTACAAACT